ATCACCCCCCGATCGCCCGCTGCGCCGCGGATACGCTGAAGTTTGAAATATCTCTCCCAATATTTTCGCATGCATATCAAAAGGGCCATAAACCAAGTGGCTTTATATTTTATTGTGCATATCAGACTGTTTTTAATGGTTGTATCCAATACTCGAAATGGCTTTCTTTATTTCTCATGTCTTTTATCCAAATCGGGGCCCCCTCCTGATGCGCCGCGATATATTTGTTTTGGATATTCCCCGGTTATTTGCATATTGCTATTGTCGCAGTTATTAGGTACAGTTTTTATGTCGACAGATCCCATTGAACTGAATTTATCGTACACTTTATATATCTCCTCAGATTTTCCTCTCTGAACAGTTGCGGATTGTTTACTTCTATTTTTTATCCATTATCTTGTCGAAAGTGACAATTTCAAAATAATTCCTATTGCAAGAAAATTATGTTTTTATTTTGGAAAAGTTATTTATTACAAGCTGTTTATTAAGTGTTGTTGGTGTAATTCAAAGCTTGCTGGGACATTATAGCCGACTTTACTTTGACAGGTGAAAAAAAAAGCCAACGATTGAAATGGACATGGTTTGAATTAATAACAAAAGTAGGTATCACAAACTTATGCGCGAACAGTGCTATAGCAAAAAACGTGTTTTGGTTGATTGTAGGTAGGTACATATTTTTATGTAGATTTGGTAGGTACACCCGATCACAGCGGCTATGTAGGTATTGTTTTGGACNCCAACGATTGAAATGGGCATGGTTTGAATTAATAACAAAAGTAGGTATCACAAACTTATGCGCGAACAGTGCTATAGCAAAAAATGTGTTTTGGTTGATTGTAGGTACATGGTTTTATGTAGATTTGGTAGGTACACCCGATCACAGCGGCTATGTAGGTATTGTTTTGAAGACGACAGTTATCGAATGTAATGGTGCCTCATATCATTGTGACAGTTACAAATACCATAACTTTACATTGCGATGGTGTTGTGTTTAAATGAGAAACAAATAATTGAAATCCTAATTATGGTTGGATACGGAGATAGGATCCGTAGTTATGATGAAGTATGTCAATTATTCAATGCCAAGTATCCAGAACAACCAATACCTCCATCAACAATATGCAGATTAGTACGCAAATTTGAAGACGCTGGACATGTTAGAGATCTGTCTAGATCTGGAAGGCCAACGACAGTGACAGAAAATGATAGGCGAAATGTTATTTTTAGCTGTCACTGAAAATCCACACACTGCCGTTAGTCGTATCGCCGAAAACGCCAACATATCAATACGTATAAACCTACCTACAATCAACCAAAACACAAAACATCCACAAATTTCCATTTTTTGCTGTGGCACTGTTCTCGCATCATTTTATGAAACCTACTTTTGTTGTTATTTTAAACCATGTTCATTCCAGTCATTGGCTTTTTTTTCACTCCTGTCAAAGTAAAGTATGCCAAACCCTATATCAACGTATTTCCCTTCAAAAAGACTATCCATTTATGCTTAAAAAATTAGGTAGTGCTATTAAAAAAAAATGTCGATGACGTCATAGGTTAATGAAACACAGCTAAAAAAATGTTTAAGCAACGTGACAAAATGACAATTCCTATTTACTAATTGACGTGTTTCAGCGTTTTTGTGAAAACGCAACACATAATAAAATACGAATTTTTTGCGTTACTTCTGGGACACACTGTATACAGTGAGCGGCAAAAGTATGGAATATATTTATTTAAAAATCAGATGTTCGTTATTTGAAAAATCGCTTGGACCCGTCGAATTATATTTTTAGTTGCGCATTTTCTGAAGCTATTTTTGTTTATACAGGGTGGCCCAAAAAAAGTTATGAAATCAAGGCCAACTTTTTTAAATGGAAACCCCTCTTTTTTGTATTTTTATTCAATTCCACATGGAATTCTATTTTTTGGAAAATGGAAATGAAATGGAAAATTTTCAAAAATTACTCTCGAGACGTAAGGACTGTAACGTCAAAGTCAGTGAGAACTGGAGTACTTTCTGCTAAATACATTTTGTGTTTTTGTATTTTGTGTTTACAAAAAAAAAACATGAAACGGTGCTAAAAATTTGCAAAATAACCTGGCTCGTAATTTAAATAGTGACATTTAACATAATCATATGTTATTACAATAAAATTATGCGTTTTTAATTAAATTATACCTAAATACCTCACTTATATTTTTTACATTCAAGTCATTGCGTCCTAATGATCAAAATAAATCACCGAACCACTTATTTCTTATGGATTTTTCTGATTTGAAGCAACTTTCTGTGAACCACACAAATCTAAGATGGAGAAGTAAACGTGGTTTTATTTTAAAACCAGCAGGCTAAATCTAAGGGTAATTTTTGAAAATTTTCCATATTTTATATTCAGACGCCATTATCTCGAAAACGGTTAAAGATAGGTAATAGGTTATGTTACATAAAAATGATCAGAATTCCATGGAGAATTGAATAAAAATACAAGAAAGTTGGGTTTCCATTTAAAACAGTTGGTCTTGATTTCATAACTTTTTTTGGGCCACCCTGTATAAATGAAAATTGCTTCAGAAAATGCGCAACTAAAAATATAATTCGACGGGTCCAAGCGATTTTTCAAATAACGAACATCTGATTTTTAAATAAATATATTCCATACTTTCGCCGCTTACTGTACATACAGGGTAGCCCATCGAAAACGCACCGCAAGGTAAAACAGGGTAGTAATGAACTTTTCGGCAAAATCCAAAAACAGGTAAAGTTTGCTTCTGAGGGGGACCACTTTTGGAGCAAAAAGCATAGCAAACTCTTCAACCCCCTAAGTGGGGGTGCCATAACCCAAATTTTTTTAAATGGGAATGGGGGTCAAGTGGGGGGTCATTAGAAAGGGCTTTTAATTCTCTATACATCGATTCTTACTTTTTGAAAATCGATCCATTATTTTAGAAAATATGCAGCTTTGAAAATACGAACAATATTTTTGACGAGAAATGCGAAAATCGATTTAATTTTACTTCAAAACTTACGGTATTAGCTTGGTAAATTCCTTCAAAAGAATTCGCTGTTTTTTTTTCTGATTTGCGAATTCTTTAGCCTGATTTTGGTGAGCAAAAAATTGTCCGCTTTTTGTTTCGTATTTAGATAGGCCACAAGAAGTTGCTAGATAACTGTCTTGTGACTTGTAGTTGAAGAGTACCAATACTGCCGAGTCTTTTAAATTGATTAATTATGGTGTACTCAATTCCAGAAAGAGTAGAAATTATTGAGCTTTTTTTCAAAAACAATGAATGCGGAAATCGGGTCGCCGAACTGTTCAACCAACGGCATCCTGAGAAACATGCGTCTGGAAAAATTGTTCGCGAATTGGTGGCCAAATTTCGCGAAACTGGCTCCGTTCATAACAAAAAGAGGCAGGTTGAAAATCCGGTACTAAATGAACCTACGGAAATAGCGGTATTGGGGCAAGTGGCAATGGATAGTACGCTGAGTACAATGCAATTGGCTACTGCGACAGGAGTGAGTCGTACAAGTGTCCAACGAATATTAAAAAAATACAAATTCCATCCTTATAAGATTCGGCTAGTGCAAGAGCTAAATGAAGACGATTTTGATCGTCGTTTGCAATTTTGCGAAATAATGACTGAACGAGCGATAAACGATAATTTCCTCTTTAATGTGTGTTTTTCGGACGAGTGTACGTTCTTCTTGAATGGTTTAGTGAATCGCCATAATTGTCGTTACTGGGCTGATACCAATCCAAGGATTTTCCATGAGACACACTCCCAACACCCCCAGAAGTTGAATGTATGGGCAGGTATTTTTGGAAATTCCATTGTAGGTCCTTTTTTCCTTCCTGGAAATTTGACAGGCGATATGTACTTGGATTTACTACAAAATGTCATCGACCCAGCTCTAACAAATATCATAGAGGACGACCCTGCTTACAATGAACACGAACTGATTTTCCAGCAAGACGGAGCTCCTCCACATTACTCGCTCAATGTGCGCAATTACCTAAATGAGACGTTTCCAGGACGCTGGATAGGACGAAGAGGTGCAATTGAGTGGCCCCCTCGGTCACCCGACTTAAATCCTTTAGATTTCTTTCTCTGGGGGCACATTAAAAGCAAAGTTTACAGCACTCCACCTGATACCTTGGAAGATCTGCGAGGACGAATCATTAATGTATGTCGCGAAGTAACACCGCAAGTGCTCCAGAATGTTCGACAACGGTTTGAAGACAACCTGTATCATTGTATGCAAGTTGGCGGACAACATTTTCAGCATTTACTTGACTAATACCGTAAGTTTTGAAGTAAAATTAAATCGATTTTCGCATTTCTCGTCAAAAATATTGTTCGTATTTTCAAAGCTGCATATTTTCTAAAATAATGAATCGATTTTCAAAAAGTAAGAATCGATGTATAGAGAATTAAAAGCCCTTTCTAATGACCCCCCACTTGACCCCCATTCCCATTTGAAAAAATTTAGGGGATAGCACCCCCACTTAGGGGGTTGAAGATTTTGGTATGCTTTTTGAGCCAAAAGTTGTCCCCCTCAGAAACAAATTTGACCTGTTTTTGGATTTTGCCGAAAAGTTCTTTACTACCCTGTAATGCCTTGCGGTACGTTTTCGATGGGCTACCCTGTATATGGATACCTGTATGCATTTATTGTGCATACATGATTAAATCACAAGAAAACATTATTTAGTAGAGATTATAAACAATAACTGTCACGCTTATAAATACCACTTTGTTTAGAATAGACTTAATTGTTACATGTATTCAGATAAAGAAGATATCTTTAATAAGATAAGTGTTATCATTTATCATTTTTACGTCAATAATAATAAATATTTACCTCTGATGTACTCTATATTTTTCTTTCTAAATTTGAAGGTTAACTAAAGCGTTGTTTCCAATATAATAAACTTTTGTAAAATTTGTTATAACTGCATACGAGTATTAATCTTAATTAAAAAGTCTTAGAGACAAACATTTGGACATCACTTTATTTTTCCATAATAATTTTACATTACTCTAGGTTATTTTCAATGCACAACTCGTACAGATCTTCAACAATTTCCCTAAACCTAGCCCTAACTCTGTTATCCTTCATCAGTTGCTGCAGTACTTCAGTTTTATCCACAGTCGCGAATTCTACCTTTTTCTCCAACGATATGTTCTGAATCGTGTCACGATCCAAAGAATTGGGATAAGTAAGGGCAGCCAGACAAACGGCTTGAGATTTCATGAAATTGCAGGAATCTATGTAATGGCTGTAAGGGTATATTTTGTTCAAATCAAAATCGTATCTCTTGAATATACTCGATAATTCATCGTAATATTGGTCTATAGCTTTGGACATATACTTGGTTCTCGTTGTCTTGTCTGTGTTTATATACAGGAAGGCTAACAAGTCGTGAGCTGGAGGGTTGTATCTGATAAGCTGGTAGTCTACAAAGCAGCACCCTGACGGTGTTGCAGCATCGAACTTGAAGAGTATGTTACCGCCCCAGATATCTCCATGACAAACCACGTTCCTGTACTTTTCAGATGCTTTAAATTTCTCGATCATGACGTCGAAAAGCTTCCTAGTTCTTTCCCGGAAGATTTCCATGGTAATTTCTTTGGGTATGTCTGGAAACTGGTCAAATATAAAATTGACAGTTGAATCTATCCCACATTTATTCATGTCCTCCATAAATTTGATTCCTTTAACGTACAACATTTCTCTAATATATTCTGTATACTTGTCGCTTATCCTAGTCTCTCTTCCCATTTTTTTTGACATTATTTCTTCGTAGAGCAACGTACAAGCGTGCATTTTTGCAAATTGTTTCACAACCAGTTGCAGCATCTTGTAAGAAAACGGTTCGTCACACTTCAGCGCCCTGTAGTTCGAATATGACATGTCCTCGAAGATAATCACGTCCCCTTGCCTCACAAAATAGCACTTTGGAAGAAAATTGGCGATATCTTTAAGTCCAACTTTTTTGAGCTCTGACAGAAAAGTGATATATATGAATTCCTCTCTCAAAAACACGTGATCCATTAATTCTTTAAATTGCTCTGGTACGAATTTTGCGAAAAGATGAAACACTCTGTCCTTGCCTATTTGCGTGACAGTTATTTTTAATTTGTAGTATTCTCCTAAGAGCCCTTGAACTCCATCTAGACTTGTTAGTTGATAACTTAAGTTTTCGTAATTGGTTCCGATGTCGTCCTTGACAATTTTGAAGCAGTCTTCTATGTTAATTTTTGGAACCAAAACGTATTCGTATATCTCTGATATCAATTCACAAATCAATTTCCTGTAATAGTACTTTGAACGAAATACGTCTAGGATGTCTTCGTTTCTGTTTATCCTCATTTCGTCACACAAAAATTTTACATGGAGATAAACCAGTTCTAGCTTGACATAAGGGATGCAGGTTTTTATTTCGTTTTCGTATGCGCCTAGGTCTAGGTTTAAATCACTTAAATTATCTTTAAGTGTGTCGTAATATTGGTTGGTTATTTCATGAAAGTATTTCCGCCTCTGTTCTTGGTCAGTTGTTAAGTAAATAAGACACAGCATGTCGTAGATTATTGACATAGATCTTCCTTTCTGTAAATTAAATAATACACATTCTGTATAATGGTCGTCATCGCAGTTAAATAGGATTTTCTTTTGAAAAACTCTTCCCTTGACACAAAATTTTTCTTTCACTGGCTGTAACACTTCTTTGCTGGTATCAATTAATTGACCTACACCTTGTTTTAATATATTTAAGTCTACTTTCCTGTCTATATGTTCTGCCAATTTATAAAGATTCTTCAGCACTTTTTGGCTTTCTTCACTTTGAAATACGTTGCCTTGTTGTTCATTTGTTATCTGGTTTTTATTTTTTGAAATAAGTTTGGAATGATAGACCGCTAGGTTCGTAAAGAGTGACAACAACTGTTTTTGGTTCAGCTGATTGTATTTTGGACAATGGTACCCCTTTACTGTTATATTTTCTACGTACATTACACCATTTTCTGTTTCGAAATAAAATAAATTGTCGTCAAAGCCTTTTTCTTTCGATGCCAGTTTAAATATAATGTGATAATTTCCATTAGATGCTTCTAACTCTATTTCTTCATTTTCCTTTTGATGTGATTTTAATTCAAAATCTTCTGCGTCAAATCCTGATGAATTTAGTAAGTTGCGACACAATTCTAGACACAAGTTTTCCATTTTAACCATCTTGGAGTTTCTTAGCAACTAATTTAGGTCTATGTCAGAGTGAAACCTGTTTCATTTTGCCAGTAATAATGTAAACGGTACATTTTTAACAGTAGTCAAACAATGATAAGTCTGTTCCTTTGTTGAGGCATACCACGTAAGCTTTCTTTCAACTTACAATTCAACAATATTAAACAATGTATTTAAAAAAGCCTAAACCTATGTGTATTGTAATTTTTTTTAAAACTCATTTTAAATATTTTCTTAAGGAACATCGAAATGTTTATCTTTTGTTGTAAATAATTTTAATACAGAAATAACTAGATTAAGTTAAATACCGACATAAAAGTAGATTAATGCTACTCTTATGATTGATATAAATCAACATTTTATTATTGTAAATTATTGATATTTACTTAAACTGACAAAAAATGATGGAGTACTTGTTATGAGGATTAATAAAATAGTTAATTCGTTGTTGACACAATAAACTGCAAACTGATTTGCACCTGTGGTTTTTAAATAAATATTGGTGATAAGGAGTATTATGTAAAACATGTGCTAGGACGTTCTACAACTTTCTAAGGAACTATATCTCAGTTTTAGTCAAATGTTCTAGAATGTTTTACAAATTTTTAGATAATAAGAAGCCTCAAAGGAAAATATTTGGTGGATTGAGACCTAGGGATCGAGCAGACCAAGCAACTGAACCACCTCTACCAATCTCTTCCATTGTAGATCATATTTAACATTCTCAAACTCACTATCGAAAATTATTTGTTTTTTTAAATAAAATAGTAGATATTTTTTTCTTTGAAAAACAATTATGAATAAAATGAACTTATACTACTTCCAAAATAGTTACTGGAGTAAATAGTATGTCGTTCTTAATGACAGTATCTCCGGTACCTCACATATAATTGTAAATAAATTCTGTGAATTTTGACGTATTTGTGACGCTTTACAAAAACTTACCCCCTACAACTTGCACACGAAGTAACTCTAGATTATGGATATGGCCCAATCATACTTTAATCACAGGATTATTTGATAGCGACCGAAATGGATTATCCGATTATACTATACTTTTTTATACATTTTTAATCAAACAAAATGTGACATAATCGTTGCTTTCTTATAACTGCACTTTTTACATTATAAAAATAAATACTTAAGAATTTGCAAAATAGTATTAAACAAAAATGGGCAGTGTCTATTTTTTCTATCTAAACACTTCACATGGATCTTACCATAAAATATATAGGTATAGTACTTACCAGCAAAAGTTAACAAAATAATAATTTTTACTAATGTGATGCTTTGCTACATATTTTAGTAGTCCCATTATCCGCGTCATTGTACAACAACATGTACATGCCTGCTTCTGATCTGAAGCTTCGCATCGATCAATTTATTCGATGCAACATTGTTGTAGCCAGGAGCATTGTGTACCTTGAGGATAGAGTGGAACACGGCTTGACCACAAATTTATCCTATTTCTGCTACTGCAACGCGTAGTGTCACTTACTAGCATAATATACGGGGTGTTTCATAATGATGTGCAAATATTTTAAGATTTTCTTAAAATATTTGCACATCATTATGAAACACCCCGTATATTATGCTAGTAAGTGACACTACGCGTTGCAGTAGCAGAAATAGGATAAATTTGTGGTCAAGCCGTGTTCCACTCTATCCTCAAGGTACACAATGTTCCTGGCTACCACAACAATGTTGCATCGAATAAATTGATCGATGCGAAGCTTCAGATCAGAAGCAGGCATGTACATGTTGTTGTACAATGACGCGGATAATGGGACTAAAAAGTTTAAAAAGTAATTTTAGGAGGAGTACTTCCTATATATTTTTTTGATTTGAGTCCCCCTGAAAAAATATTCAATCTCAAAATGGCCGAAAAAATTAGCTTTTATTTTTTTTCACGAAAACGGTTAAACTTAGAAATTTGAATTTTGGTACACGTTAACAACTAGTTGAATGGTATTTTTTGGTAGTCTTTTTTTTCTGGTTTATGTCTTTGAATGAAAGAAATTAGCACCTCTTGGTTTTATTTCTCTCACAACTTCTTTCTACGTTAGCTAATTCCAACAAGAAAAATAGTTTTTAATACTACGTTTCATTTAGAAACTTTTTTTACTCTTCCCAATTTTTCGTACACTTAATGGTTTATGAGCAAAAAAATAAATTATTTTTCCATGTCGATTAGGTACACATAATTAGTATAACAATTACCAATAATGATCGTCATTTTTGACGCATTTTTTTTAAAAACTCTTTTTTTATCAATAGGAAAAGCTAAGCAAATATGAACTAAAAATATAATAAAAAAATGAAAGCTAATTTTTTCGGCCATTTTGAGATTTGAAAATTATTTATCACAGCTATTTGATGTTAGCAAATGTAGTTAAAGTTGATTAGTATTTTAATCAAGAAAATATATAGTACTTGCTGATGTAGATATTATTTATCCGAACTAATCTGCTCATAATTTTATTGAGGGTCATACATTTTTTTAGATCATTGCTAATGCATTTTCTATTCAAACTTGAAACAATTAATTATTTGACGTATCTGACAGCGTAGCTTATGAAACCCATGATGATCATATTGCACAATTCGTATTGTATTGTATTGTAATAGATCCGTCTATTACAAGCTTCTATAAATTATTATAAGTTTAAATACTACGTTGGGGGAAGGGGAGGGGGGGGGGTGAGGTAGTTGGTAATCTTTTTCACAATTCTTTTAATCGAATTACTTTATCTACTATGTCATAAAGTGACATCTATATGGAAGTATTTGTCTACCAATTTTCAATAAAATCCCACATGACGTTTGAAAATTATTTAGAAAGAACTTTTTCTTTTGTCAAATTTGATACCCTCTAGGGACTAAACAAAGCAACTTAGGAGTTTAGTTAAACCTGCTTATTTTGATCGTAGGAAATGTGGTAGCTCCATGTATACGAAATATTGGATTTCCCCTGCAATATTTGATACTTGTCCACCCAGAAAACCTAATGAATACAGAAGAGAACCTGCTAATGCATTTTACCTTGCTTCACCATAAATTAAAACGATATCCATCAACTCCGAGTTGCTATAGATAGATGTAAGCTATTTTTGACACTTGAAAAACTAATGTAAACACTATCTCAAAAATTTTAATACTAAAATGGAATTTCAGTATTCGGAATTTTTTTTGGACAAGTTATTAATCACCCTGTATAAACAATATACTACGATAATAAGAGTACTATGAAATCCACAGTAACACATTTTTTCTCAAATCAAATCTTCAAAGTAGTCCATTTAAATGGGCCTTTAAGTGGCAATTCTGGTCAATTTGCCTGAATTTTTGGTATAAGTTAGTTTGAGGTATATAATAACAATCGATTTAAGTAACAAGAATGTAATTTTCACCAAAAATCGATCACTTCGCGTCTTCTTCTTCTTGGGGACATCATCCTCTTGCCGCTGTTAACTCCGCCCACTTTGGTCTACGTGGATTTATAATAATGCGGAGAGCGGTCCTCAAGTAATTAAAAAAAGATAAAACCGTCCGCAATTAAGAGCGTACACACATACAGACACACGGATTCCTGGGTATGGCATGTTGGCGAGCGCATAAACGAATAATCTTGTATTTTTCGCCCCCCTACAAAGGGCATATTTATAATAATATATTTAATTAGCGATGTCGGGATGTCAAAAGCAGTGCCGAGTTGGCTTTACAGTAGAGTTACTTTGTCTCTGCACGTATTAAGGACTTAACATGTGATGTGTCTGTGCGCGAAGCCACCCCTAAACGCCCCGCCGCCCTCCGCCCCCTGCCCGCCCCCCAAAAGTGCCGCGGTGAGATTTTATTATTATGATTTGCCGGAGCGGTTCGGCTCCTTACGGGAGTCCCGAATAGGTGCAGGAAGTCACTCTGCCAGGAGTTACTGGGGGGTTTTCAAATGTCGACTAATCTTTTTTTTGTTTGTTGGGTATTTTGCCCCCTGCGAAAAAATTAACTAAACAAAAACTTGCGCCAAAAACCAAGCGGATAATAAAAAATCTTACAAACATGACCAACTTATTTAGCCAATACCAATTATTTTTTTTAAACAGCAGTGTGTGTATTTAATTTGTTAATCTTAGTGTCAGTAACCTCTGACATTGACCTAGTTTAATTGAAAATTAAACCGTGGACAATTTAAATTTAAGTAGAATTCCATCATGTTCCGAACGCTTCCGAGGTGCAACGGGTGGTGGTATAAGTGTATAATCTTGCAAAGTTATTTATTTCAGTGTTTAGTAATGGTACAGTGTAATTTTGTGTTTTAATTTTCAAGTTTTTGTATGATATTACAAATATTCATGAACACAAAACAAGAGCACATGCTAGAAGTAATTCAAAACAGCAGAACATTTGTTATTTTAAATGGAGCATCCTGTATATTATTGTGTTTTTGAATTCCTTGGTTAATATTAGTTAGAGTTTATTGAATGTACATGGTGTTTAAAACTTACCGTTTCCGAGATAATCAGTTTTTGAAAGAAAATCACAATTTTAGCCCTCTAAATGAGGCTAGATAGCAGCTAAACCGCAAGAGTTAAAAATTTGCAGTTTTCACAGTTCGTTCTGGCATAAATTACTCTATCTTGTTATCTGTGAGCAAAACGTGTACGTTATTCAGACTCGGAAATATTGAGGCCTACATTTAATAGTCTTACGAGTTGAAAAACTCTTTTTTTTAATGGAATTATCCATATTAATTGTCATGGGTGAATGCAAAATTGAATGCCCCTTTCGACTGATATAAGGTTGTCCATACTTATCTAACAGTTTTCCAGAAAAATCAGGTTCTTTTCTAAAGTCCGAAAAAGTAGCTACGTAACAGCGTCAAGAAGGCCTTGCAATTGTATTAATACAACGTCGATACATACGATTTTACAAAAGCACAGCACATCACATCCTTATCGCAACCAATTACACCAAAAGTGACTAAAAGTAGGCTTTCAGCGGAGACTGCAGTTTTGTCAATGGGCACTTGAGAT